GGAACAACATATACCCACAGACTTAAGTAGCACTATGAATCTCCAAAAGACAAATACAAAACGATCTACATTAGGCATTTCTGTTGTCTGAAAATCACAGACAACAGAAACATCTTATAAGCAGCCAGAGAAAATAAGATATACTCCGAGACCCATTCCTTCAAAGGAGACAGAAGAAAGCTACCGCTGACCACTCAGGGGAAACTATGATGGGGGTCAGAAGATAATGGGATGTCATTTTTAAAGCCAGAAACAACATTACCTGCCAATCCAGAGTTCCATAACAACCAAAAATATTCTTCAAGAGTTAAGGCAAAAGAATAGCATTTCTGGACAAACAAAAACTTTTTTAAAAACATAGAAGATACCACAAAAGAAATATAAAGGAAGAGGAAAAAATGATCCTACACAAAGATGTATATTATACTAGCTATACTATTTACTAAAAGAATATTAAAAATGCATAACCAACAAGCTAATATAGGGAAAATGACGTAAGAAATTCTTGGTTAATATAAATAAAGAAATATAGAAGTGAACAAAAACTGTTGAGAAAAATAGGAAACCATTTATTGAGATGATAGCTATAAACCCAACTTAAAAGAAATAGCATTATATATAAATGTATTAAATACTACAACTAAAGGCTACTATCATCAGACTGAATATCAAAGTAAATATCATGCCTTTTATAAGAGACGTGCTGAAATATAAGGACAGTAATGGCCACCTTGATTTATGTTGGGTAACTGGGAAAAGGAAGGCTTTTTAAATAAATGGTGCTAGATCAACTGAATATACATATAAAAAGTGAATCTTGACACCTATGTTTTACTGTATAAAAAATAATTTCCAGGCACACTGCATATCTAAATGTGAAAGAAACAATAAAGATTCTATAATAAAACATCAGAGTATCTTCATGAACATGCAATAAGCAAACTTTTTAAAGAACACTAAAAGTACTAACCAAAATAGAAAGGATCGATGAACTATATATTAAAATCTGAAATTTCTATTCATCTCAAGGCGCTATTAAGAGAGTAAAAAGGCAAATCAGAGACTGGAGAAGATATCTGCTATACATCTATCCAACAATGGACTCATTTACAGATATAAAGAACTCCTTTATAGTAATAAGAAAAAGATAACCTAAACGACAAATGGTAAAGATACTTCACAAAAGAGTTTATTCAAATAACAATAATTTACTGTGTTCAAGCTCATAGGCCTTAGGGAAATGAAAAATTAAAAGCATAAGTAAATACTACTGTAAACCCCAAAGAATGCCTAAAACTAAAGATATGGGTAAAAATTAACTGCTGGCAAGGATGCAAAGCACTTGCAATTATGAAACCTTGCTGGGAGGAACATAATGATACAATCGCTTTGTAAAAATATGACACTACCTCCTGAAATTGAACTTATGCAAACCCAATTACCCAGAAAGTCCACTCTTAGGTTTATATCCTACAGAAATGCATACGCATATCCACCAAATCACATACCGGAATGTTCCCAGTGGCACCACTGGTAAGAGGGCAAAACTGAAAACAACCCAAACTGAAAACAATGGATAAATAAATTGTGGAATCACCAGAAAACTGAATAATATGCAATAATGAGAATAAGCAAACCATAATTTGATTTGAATGGATCTCACAAACATAACATTAAGAAAATAAGTCAGACATAAAAGGGTATATACTATATGATTTCATTTATAAAATGTTCACAACTGGAACAAAGTAATTGATAGGAACAGAGATCAGAAGAGTGATTATCCTGGCAGATGGGGGTAACTGGACGGCATGAGGTGAACTTCTAGTCAGTTTCTAGTTCTTGACACAAGAGGTAACTAAATGAGTGTGATCTCTTGTGTATTTGGCTACAATTTTTACCTAAAAAAAATTATCTAGCAGGTGTATATGCACTGACTTAGAAAGGTACTCATGATATATCAGCAAGTGAAAAATAACAGGGAATTGTAGATCACTAAATATAGATAGTGTGATTCTATGTTGATAAAGAAAACAAAAAGGTGAATTATTATACCTAAAATAAATATATGAAGGTTTTATTAACAAAGTTGATCTCTTCTATTTTTTGCTTTATAAAATTTTTGCATTTTTAAGGAAGTGAGCATGTTACATATTTGAGTCCCAAAATAATCAATAGCAAAAAAGAAACAGTTTTCTAGCTGAACATTCCACAACACCAAAGGTGTCCCCTGGGGAGGTGCAATGAATTACACAAACCAGAGGAATCAACATCTGTCTGTCCTACCAAGTGGCTGAGTTTTTGCTACTCTGGTTCTAGAATTGTCAAAGGGGCAGAAGGGCAGATCACTGAGATGAGCAGGTCCTTTATACGTAATGGAAATGCACTTTCATTAGTCTCACTGAATTGGTGTTCAAAGAAGCAGATTTTGTGCAGATCTCTATGGAACACTCACTGAGGAAAGGTAAAGACCCAAAGGCCACTGTCAGATACCCAACTCAGTCCTAAAAAAGGAACATGTTATTCGCTAAACATGTCAACTCTATGTCCATACATTATTTACTTAACAAAAGGCACAAAAGATAACCTGCAAACCTTAGGTTAGTAGGACAAACTTCAACTTACTTCTGCCAATTTCACTACCAAACAGCCTTTTAGATAATCATATTTTCCTCAATCATTGTATATCATTGTAAACTAATTAAATTTTCTGTCATCCAGTCTTATTTTTATACATTATTATGGGAAAGGAAAAAATATTGTATCTTTAAGAAGTATACTTGAAAATAATGAGTAGCCTTTAAAAGATTTATTTTATCTGCCAAGCATATTTACCATGAATAAAATGGTTTAGACAATAAAGATGTTTCCAAGTAAAAATTGAAAACATGCTCCAGATATGAAAAAGAGAAGCTGCCTGTGTTTTTGTATACATGTGTACAAAATCTCTAAAAATCAAAGGTATACTATTTTTCTCTCATGGGAAAAATGAAGAACAAATTTTAGCCCATTTTCCTTAAAAAACAAACAAACAAAAACAAAACAAAACAAAACAAAACAACTCCTAATGAATCAACAAGATATTTATTCGAATCTAGACCAAACAAACAAACAAACAAAGGGAAAGCTTTAGAAATTATGCTCAGATTTATAGGCTTACACAAAAGGAAAATAGTAAATAATCATTTAATACCACCATGGTAACATACTTATTCTCATTATTTTATCTCTACCAAGTTAAAAGTAGAGAAAATGAGCTAATTACAATAAGGAGGATTAGTCCAATATAAGGAAGAACCACTCTGTGTGGCAAAAGGCTAGAATAGAAAGCAGGTGCTAAATAAATCCTGTCTATTTGCATGGACTAGAACGGATCCCTGAAGGCATTTTCTCAACAAGAGAGTATTACGGACCCCTGGCAGCAAGCTGCGTGCTCTGCACCAGGCAGGGTGCTTCACTGCACACTATGTCATTTTTTCCCCGTACCTATGAACATAGACCTTTGCTGTGAAGAAATCAAAATATTTAAATTAAGCAGCACAGTAAATGCACAAATAAATAAATGCATATGCTTATAATCTTTTTATAAATGGTACAGAAAAGAACAAATGCATACTAAACAAGTTGAAAGAGATTTCATCTTTCACATTGTGCGAATACATGTTGCTAGTGATATTTTCTATTTTTATAAAGATGATCCTCATTACTACTTCTTTTACTATGTAAACTACAAAATTGTGTATCTGTTTTAACAGGAACATATTCATAATTACTCCACACAGATATTTTCAAAAGTGTCAAAATATGAATTAACACACTGACACTTTTTTGGGTTCCATATACCATTCCAAAACATGTTGTTTGCAGAATAAGGCTTAGTAAAGTGGATTAGAACATTTGTATGGGCAGTTTCTAAAATATCAGTTATTTATTTTATTTTATGTAAAGCGATGTTCAGATCCAGTTGTCACACAGTAATTCTCCTGGTTAGGGAGAAACGTGTGTAGACATACAATGAAACACAAATAACCAAACTGCCCTCCATTTTCTGAGGAAAAGATTCCTCCTTCCTTTGTAGTTTAGTTCTTCCAATCCCAAGCTGAGTTTAAGCCCTGCCTGAAATGAAGTTAGCTTTGCTCATAGAAGTCATAGCCCTTTTGTTCACTGACTGCCGAACTTACGCTTTTTCTCTTAAATAGAATGCTCGATTGTTTTGGAGATGAAGTGTAGTGCTACTAAATTGGACTAATTTGTTGCACTTTTGGCCAGGTCTGCAGAAAACTCACTAATTTTCTTTTTCTCTAGATGATAAACAGATCTCCCACCATGTTTTGGGAGATACAAACACATGTAACTTCTATGGCTAAAGATATAAGGATACTAATTACAAATTATGTTTTCATTTGAACAAATAATTGTTGCACTAAATTAACACAACCAAGGGAAAATTTATTCCTTAGCTTGCTACAATATAACCTCGAAATTATAGATGAGATTTTGTCTAAATTGAGCCTTAACAGGACAGAAACATAATGAAAACATGTAGTTCTTTTTCCTATATTCTTATTCCTCAGTTTTTAATAATGAAATTTTCCAAAAATCTTCTTGCCTATCTTACTATTGAGGTACATCTCCTGGTCCCCCAACTAAAAATGCAATGAGACACTTCTGGTTTCCCTCCCTGCCCTCTGCAGATGGTAGAAAGCGATTCTACTATTAAGATTTTACTTCCATAGGTTTAGATTTGTCCTATCATGAGTGAGAACCAAAGAGATTACAGAGTCCAGTTCTTCCACTTTAAAAATGAGAAATTTAAAGATTAGAGAAGTGAGGTGACAGAACTTATTATTTGTAGGGTTGGGACTAGAACACAAATCTTTGACTTCTAGGCAGCTTATTTCTACCATTCCCTAGTGGAATGGTAAAACCAACCAAATAAACAAAACATTCTTCACAATAAAAAGTATAGTCTGTGTTTTTGCTAGTGTTTTTGTTTTTACCTCTGAAGAGATTATCCAAGTCAATATCTTCTTTTCCTTTGATTTTCAAACACTTTGCCTGCTGTACAAGTCTGGGCAAAGAACAGAAATAAAATCTAGATTCATTATCCTGCGAGGTAGGAATAAATCATGACAGCAGCATACATTTAAATAGAAACCACAGGGTAAACAGTAGTGAATTAGCAGGTATTTTGCTGCACAGAACTTGTCAGAATTTTTTTCAATTTAAGATTTTAAAATATACACTTTTATTCAGAAACTCTAACTCTGAAAACTACAACTTAAAAGCCCCCACCCCTCATTCTGTTATACCATTCTAATATTTCTAAAACTCTCTAGAGAATAATCTCTTCAGATTCTGAGGAGGAGCTAATAGGGACAGTAGATGGGTAAATAATAATTCTACTGATAATTTTAGAGCTTATTTAATCAGAAGATTATATACATTGTGCCCAAACAAGTGGATAAAGTAATTTAGTTATATTGTTGAATGTCAAGGAATTAATTAACTTTTAAATGCTCCAGTATGCAGTAAGGACTAATTTTATAACTCGTTCATCATGGAACTTTATTAAAATGTGAGGCTCATAGTTTGTAATGAATCTGGTAGTTTCTAAAATAAAACTTTCCTGTGTTACGAATTACCTAGTAATTAATTTCAGGTAGACAGAATTTTAGTTGATTAATTTATCTGTAATATTTATTACTTTAATGAAAATTGTAATACCTTGCCTTGTAAATATATTTTCTGCTTGCATGTGGAGAGAAGCTCTCTCATTTTGTCCTCATAGACAAAGCTTTGAGTTAGGCATACAAGTGCTGTTTCAATTTCTGATTTAGATGAGGAAACAGATTCAGTTACTAAAACCTTACGAGGAAACCTAAGCAACCTGTTCATAATTTGAGGTAATTTTATCTATATATTCTATAAACACGTAAAAATACATTGTATGTACTAGTTAGGTTTTTTTTTTAACCATTAAGACTGTGTTTTCACCAAGAAACTGAGAAAGAATTTCTATTGAAACACATCTATGGACCTTAAAAAGAGGTCCTATATAGCTTCTGTGAAGCATATCAATGCCAGGTAGTTAATCACCTGTGGTGCAATGCAGAGACCAATACACTCAGTGTAGGAAAACCTGGCTCCATGTCCTAGCATCTGTGCCCTAGGTTTGTGACACAGAGAGCATATTTAAGCTCTAGAGGTCTCGGTTTCCCAATCTGCCAAATGGAGACAGTGCTTGCCTTACAGGATTTGTTCTGAACAATTAGTGAAATAATATGTTATAAAATAGTCTACAAACACTTAGATATCATGGACATACATAAAAATGTGTGGAATATTTTTTTATTAATTATGCATGTATAATTTTTATTATATTCTATATCATCAGGATTTATTTCCATTCTTGCAGGAAAAAATGGAAAGAGGGCTTAAACTTAAGCAGTAAGCATCCAGTGGAGAGAGTTAAGCAACACGTAATGCTGGAGGCACATGTGCACTGTGCAGTCATTTTGCAAAATATAAGGTGGAAAAAATTATAGCTCTGTGTACACATTTTTGGAAAACCTTGGGAATTTCCCCCCAACTTTAAAAATTTTATGAAACTAAGCTGATTTTCAAATGATCTTAAAGTATCCCTATGCAATATATGCTGGTGAAGATCTTGGTTCTATCTTTCAAAATTAAAAAATAGAAGCCAGTAAGCCTTATGTAACTTTGATAGAGATTTCAAACAGCAACTTAAGAACAAATCAAGTAAATTTATTGAGTGGCTTTTTTAAAAAAATGCCAGATGCAATTAATCACAGGTGTATTTTGGTATAGTTCTTGCTTTCAAAATTATTATATTACTAAGGAGATACACCAAACCCTGTAAACAGTTCAGATACAGTTACAGTTCCTGAGTGAGGTAGGTACCTTTCAATGACTCCCAGTCTCTTGATTTTATTTAACCTCATTTTATTCTCACAAAAACTCTGTAAAGTAGGTATAGGCCCCTTGTTATAAATAAAGAAATTGAGGCTCAGTGATATTAAACCACCTGCGCTTCTCAGTCACACAATGAGACAACAGTGGAGCCAGGACACAAACTCGAGCCTTTCAAACTCCCAATCCAGTTTCTTTCCACTCTACACATCATCTTCATGTAATGTAGGGTTTACTGAGCATTTACTGAAGAGATGTCACAAGCAGAGCAAAAGAAAAGGCGAGATAATAATAATAATGCACCTGGCAGCTGCAGGGAGGATATGGCTTGGCACTGGGCTAGTCAAGTTGTTCTGCAGAGGATGTAGCCGGGTCTGGTCTTGAAAGAATGGGGATGTGGATGACTGATGGGTTTGTAAAGGTCTAGGGAATTGGGCTGGAACAGAATGGGAATAAACAAAATGGGAGGGAGAAGTGTTTTGGGGACAGGAATAAGCTAATCAACATTTGGCTGAAGCATTTGTGCTGTGGAAGAAAAGGAAAGATCAAAAGTGGGCCTAAAAGTATGAGCTGGAGCCAAGCTGTAGAGAGCCTTGCAAGCTGTTCTCAAGTGTTTGGACTTTATCTTGATGGCAGTGAAAAAGCCACTGAAGTGTTGCATCTTGAAAGAACCTATTGCATATAGTCAGCTGAAATGTTTGGAGATGATTAGGCTACTAAGGTGCTAGAGATTCATATTTGTATTTTACCTAAAAATGTAATACAATTGAAATCTGCCAGTATTACTATTTTATCAATAATCCCTGAAGCCTGGTGCATACCTTTTACATAATTATCAGAGCTCCAGGTTCTCTAAATGATCTTAAAAAATTATTATTAATATTATTATTGTTGCTGCAGCAAGTGTCAAGCCACCTGTCTGTCTGTCTGTCTTGATTCATTCCATAGAGGAATGTACATGATTTAGAGGACTACTGCTCCTATTGCGGAGACCTGCCGCTGTCATCTGATAATCTCTGCTGCCCATTGGTTTTCCTCTTGCCTTTTCCTTAGGATTTTGCTGTTTTCAGTGAAATAAAGACCTGCATGTTCTCTGACCCTCTTTCTATGCTTCTACTACTTTAACAAGGCAAATTAATGGCTGACATTTCTGTGTTCAGTAAATGCTAGGCCCTGAACTAGATGCCTAACAGGAAGAAGATAATATGAATCTTATGTTTATGTGTTGAAAAAGAGAGGTTAAGTAGCTTGCCCAAAGCACACAGTAAGCAGAAAAGTCAAAGTAGAAGAGCCAGAATTTGAATTTAACTCAGGTCAGTTTAAATGTAGCTAGACATCTTCTAGAACAGGAGTTAGAAAACCATAGCTTAAAAGTCAATTCCTGACCATTGTCCGTTTTTGTAAATGAAGTTTTACCAGGACACAATCATGCTCATTCATTTATTTACTGTTCATAATTGTTTTCACACTAGTGGTCAAGCTGAATAATTGTAGATCTTATAACGGATGGCAGGACCTAATATACTTACTATACGGCCCTTTATAGAACAAGTTTGCTGACCCCTGTTCTAGAAGTAAAGGAAAAGATCCCCAAGGCCAAAAATCAACATACCACATGTGACTGTTTTACATTGCTATCTTTTCCCAAAATTGCTTTAATAAGGGTATTTAGTTATAATTTATAACAGGGCTTGAAAGGCAAATATTGGGCTCTTACTGACCTTTATTTTTAGACAAAATGTCCAAGTCCGATAAACATTTCTTTGAGCTTTTCCTACATGCATGTATTGTTGCCTTCAGCCAAGACGGTGTCTGCCACCAAGAGACTGATAATCTAACAGAAGATACAGCCGTGTGCACCACCAACTTTCACACAAAGTAGATTAAGAAGATGACTACAATACAGAAATGAAGAAATTGCTATGGGGTCACAAAGTAGGAGGGGATTTTCTGCTTAAAGATCGGAGAGATTAGAAAAAGCTTTCAGGAGATGAGTTTGAACTAAACCTCAAAACAAATTTTACTCAGGGAAGTGTAGAGAGGGACATAGCATAGACATGTGGAGAGTAGGGGGTGAGAAGCATTAGTAATGGGGCTTGATGTGTGATGAGATGAAATGTGCAGGCTGAGGTCAAATTATGAGGAATGCAAGAGCTTCCTCCAGATGTATGTATGTATGCTTGTGTGTATGTATGTGTGCATATGATAATATGCATATGATTTATAGTAAAACAAAATGAATCAAAGACACGTAAAACTCTGTCTAAAGAAGGATTGACACTTGCTGCAGCAATATTTAATTTGTAAATAAAAATTAAACTTTAAAAAATAGTACATTATAAAGTATCGAAAATTAATATACATATGAAAATGTTGATTGCAGCATTTTTATAAGAAATAACCTGAATACCTGTCAATAAGAAAATGAGTGGAATAAGTTATGTCCACATTATGGAATATGATAGTTACTAAAAATAATGCATTGATTCCATTTGTGTTGATATGGCAAATTATCCGACATATATTAAAATAAATTATCTATATATACACATTTATGTATATATATATTAGCTAATACCTTTTATCATCAGACTTCCTTGAGCCAGCACACCATGATTCACATGGCTGTCCATATGAGATAAAGCAAATTTCTTTTTTCTTTGTGGGTAGAATTAGTTGTCAATGTTTTTATAACATTTCCATATAAAAACAAAGTCCAAGAGCAGATTATTTTCCTCCTGGTCATAAATTCTGATTTCTTTACAGATGCCTTGTTCAGTCTACCATTATACACTTGGGATAAAATATGTATGTATTTTATTAAAGTCTCAGCATTTAATGTCAGGGTCCTTTAAAGATTCATTCCTATGTTAACCTTTCAGGAATGCAGCATCTTTCCCCATATTCGACTTGGTTATATCGTAATCTATCCAGAGTGATACAAGCTAACCTTCAGAGAAACTAACAAAAAATCAATATGATTCTTTTAAAAAAAGAGTGAATATATACCTGCATATCTGTATATATACATAAACACAGAAAAAAACGTAGAGACAGCGGCAGTCTAGTTCCATGGTTGACATCAAGACACTGCATCAAAGCTGAAGAGTCGGGAGTCAGAAATTATTTTTTAAAAAT